CCGATAGATTCAAATCTAAACAACCTAAACAACTCAAAACAATCTAATATATGGATAATATCAAATTTAAATTTAAATCTAAAACTGAATAACTAAAATATCTCAACATCCTTTCAAACTCAAGTGGTATAACAAAAATCAACTTGAGTTTGCAGAAAAGGATCGAAGATGATGCAACCACAATCATCGATCATACCAGAATTAGAAATAGTGCCCTCGACTAAATTAGAGTTAGAAACGGACTCTAAACGGAGTCGGAAACTTGACTCTCAATGGTGTCGGAAACATCGGGACTCTTACTTAGAGTTGGAAACAACGGAACTCTTGTCGGAGTCGAAAACAATGGAATTCTCACTGAAGTTGAAAAACGATGAGACTCTCATTGGAGTCAGAAAACAGCGAGATTCTCAATACAATTGAAAGCAACATTTTGTACTAAAACATTGAAAAATAAATTTAACGGGCGATCAATTGCAGACGGATCTCAAAATCGGAAAACTTTTGTTGGCGCCAAAAAATCATAAATAAAAATCTCAAAATTAGAGTCCTCCGGGTACATTTCAGGTTTAATGTACCCAAAGAAACACATATTAGTATATTGTATCTACTCTAGGAGAAAATTAGGCTCTGATACTATGTTAAAAATAAATTGAAAACGACTCAAAAATGACATTGTATTGATCATTAAAATAAAAAATCTATATGTAAGCACCATAAAAGAGACTCGATAGATTCAAATCTAAACAACCTTAACAATTCAAAACAACATAATTTATGGATAAAATAAAATCTAAATTTAAATCTAAATCTATTAAATTTAAAATAAAATATTTAAAATATCTCAATTAGTCTGTTTCTGATTCTAATTCACTTGAAGGCACTATTTCTCACTGGCATTATGGATGATTATGGTTGCGTCTTCTATCGAGTCTATTTTATGATACTTAGACCATATATATAGACCCTTATTTTGATGATCAATATCATGGTATTTATGAAAAAAATGTTTAGATATTTTAGTTATTTAATTTATATTAAATTTAGTTATTTTATATTTGATTTTATCTATTAAACTAAATTGTTATGGTTTAAGTATATCGACTTTGTATATTATGATTATTTATATGCCTCTATTATAAATAATAAAGCAATTGTATAGTTTTCATAATTGTATAATTTTTTTGATCTTGATGTATTTTCATTTGACATTAAAATGAATTTAAATATTATTTTGTTTTATTTTACTATTTTTAAGAATATAATTAAATTTAATTTTAAGATTAAAAAATAAGTATATGAGTATTCAATTTTATTAATTTTAAAATAAAAATAAGTAGAAAAAATTATTTAAAATATTTTGATTTAAATTTTTGCCCATAAAGTTGCAACAATTGATCATTAATAATGCTTACCATTATTATCCCGCCAAAAACAGCAACAAATTATTGCAGTCTTCCGCGACAATAACAAATATTCACATGAGATTCGGCGTGAAAATAATTCCGCGACATTTCTTGTTGGCATCATTTTTGTCCATCATTGCAATAGGTTCATCCATTGTGGTCGATGTTTACGTCCGCCACTGTCGTTGCCTTCGTCGTTTCTATCCATTGTCCTTTTCCGTCGCTTTCATCCGTTATCACTTCCATCATTTCAATATGTTGTCCATCGTCTTCTTCTGCCCAGAAGTCTTCGTTCAAAACTCCAAATCTCTCCATATATATTAGAAGATTTGTAATATCATGTATATATGTATATACATGACATATTAAAATAAATTAATATATATATTTAAGTATTTTCAAAAAATGTTTTTGAATAAATTGATGTGTTGTAAAGTTAAAATTAGAATTAATTTTTATTTAATTTACTAGTACAAGAATTTAGTTTGGCCATCTCCAGATGTAAATCATATCCTCCGTCACCCGGACTATTACATCAGCTTTACTATCAACACTAGAACTTAAGAGGAATATAATTAATAAATAATTAAAAATATATTAATGAAAATAATTAGAGTAGAATAAAAATATTTATAGATTAAGGTTAATATAACTAATTTGTCTAATTAAAATGAAAAAAAAAATTAAAATATAAAAATTTTAAATACGATCAAAGTGTATAATTTTTTTCCAAAAAAGAAAAATAATATAATAAGTGAAACAAACGAAAATAAAAAAGGTAGACATGATAAGTGAGACGGAGGAAGTATTTGTTACTAAATTATTGTATTCTTGTTTGTTTTTTTTATTCGGCAATATAAATTATACACTATATTTTTTAAAAACATTAAGGGTGTTTTTGTTTGGGGGTTTGAATTTTGAGTTGGGATTTGAATAGTAAAAATTTTGAATTTGAATAATTGTATGATGTGATACAAATAGGTGTTGTTGATGTGATATTTTGAATGTAAAATTGATTTTTAGTATAATATAAAAAATGAAAAATAAGTGTTTGATTTGATATTTTTAGGGGAAAAATTTTGGATGAATAGTTGGATATTATCAAAATCCTACAAACGAACACACCCAATTTATATATTGTATATAAATAAATTATATCATATATATACTTTATTAATATAAATAAATTTATAAAAATAAAAACTATATAATTTATTTATATATTAAAGATAAATAAAAGTAAACTTTTTTCTTTTGTTCCTTTATTATTCAAAATTTAAATATTTTTATTTCAAAATCATTGAATCAATTAATTATTGGTCTTGTGATAAAAGATTGATTATTACTAATAAATAAATTTCCTGTTGTTCATAAATGATGATATTAAGCTACATTTTTAATTGGTTTTTATAAAGATAGAGTATATATATTATATGAGAATGTATATATACAAATCTTCAAAAATCCAAATCCAAAATCCAAACCCTCAAACAAACACACCCATAGTATACATATTTGTTTTAACAATAATACTTGATAGGGAAATTGTGTTGGTAAAAAAAATTAAATGAACACTGCACCATTCATTCATATTAAGAATATATATATAACTATATTTATATTATATAATATCTTATTATTTATAACATAACACATATATAAGTACTTATATTTTATTAAAATATAATTTTAAAATATTACAATGCATAGATTTAATTTAATATATATTTTTTAATCTATCATCAACAAAAAAATAATTAATGATGCATATTCCTAAACGCTCAAACTTTTAAATGAGATCGCCACTACAAAAAAAAAAATAGTATATTTGTAGCTAACGTAATTTCATCTCTAATTACGTCTCTAATATCATTAGTAACGAAAAAAAGTGAATTTAGAAACAAAAAAACATCGTTACAAAATTGATAATTTTTTGCAGTGACGGTCATTTCGATCATCTAACATGCTATCAGAGGCATAGGTCTCAAGTTAGGGATTGTATTGGAAAGTCCGTATGTTAGAAAAATAATTAATGACGTGTATCCTTAATAGCTTCAGTTTTTAGGTGAGATGCTGGGGACTCTCGTATGTTAAAAAAATAAATAATAATAATAAATCAGTCATTTCGATTATCTAACACTCAAAATATTTCCATAAATTAAAACATCCTCCAAAAGTTTGGAAATATATATATATATATATGTTGGCGGCGGCTACAGTGCTGAATTTAAATTTCAGCATTGTGCTGAACAGCACACTATGTAATAACAAAAAATACAATGTATTACTTCAGTCAGAACATCTTTTATATTTATATGATACAAATACAGCACATAAACTAGCAGCACACCATATAATAACAAACATCACACGGTATTACTTATGGCAGGACACCCTTTATATTAATATAATACAAATACATCACATCACATAAATCAACAATACATGCTATAATCACATACAACATACACAACAGTTGATTTTAGCACATGACATACTCTTATACAGCACACATATAATTCTGAACAAATAGCACACGCCTCCATTGTGCTGTGTGTATTAAAAATATGTGTTGTTTGTATGTATTGTAGGTACTAGTTTGAAAAATTCAGCATCTCTTAATTGGATTCAAGACTATTTTGCAGATCTAGATATTTTTACCAAAGCCATTAAATTTGAATCAAACAAAATCTTTCATCAACGTTCGGTAAATATCTACATACATGTGGATGTTGATCTTGTTGCGTGGCCTTATTGAACATTACAAGTGGGTGGGTGGGGGGGGACTTATGGCACCTTCTTGTCTCCTCATTTTTATTTTTTTGGTTCAACCCATTGATTATTGTCGTACGTAGAAAAAGTATAGAAATTTATTTTTTTATTTATAAGGAAATTTAATACCAATTAATTTTAAATAGAATCGTAAAAGAGCCGAACTGAGTTAAGTTTTACATGTTTGAGTTTGGCTTGTTAAGAATTCGAGATCAGTTTTATTTGAAGTTGGAACTTCAGATCATTTCTTAACACAAAACAACCATTACTTCATTGCAATGTACTTTCTCCATTCGGTTCTAACGGTCTCATTGTACTTAGCATTAAAAATATTCTTATATTTTTATATTTTGTTGCACAAATGTCATTATAATAGTATTATAAGACACTTATAAAAGTATTTTTGTCTATTTTTTTTAAATTTGTACTACATTTATATATAATCATGGCTAAAAATATTTAGGGGGGTCAGTTGACCCAGCCCTAAAAATATATGTATTTTTTGATGTAAAGAATAATAAAATTATGTATTTTATAGTAATTTGTCCCTCCTAATTTTTTTATTTTGTAATGTAAAAAATTATAAAAAATTTATCCGTTTGTTGATTTATACTTTTAGTCTTTAAATTTTATTTTTTATAGTAAAAAAATATTAAATTTTATGTAATTTTATTGAAATGTTTTCTAAAACATTTAATTTTTTCAATTTTTTTTGTTAAGGTGTACTATGAATAAAATAAAAATCGATTTTGCCCCCTTTTTACTGTTGGTTCCATCGGTGCATATAATAATTAATATTAGAAAAACCAATACACAAAACCTAAATGAAATCCTTAGAGCTACACGGATGACAGACATTGTATATATTTTGCATAACAATAACCATAATATTCATTCTCCAAATTCTCAAACCCTTAATTCCTTAGAATTTTTGAATCATGGAGAGACCAAGAGTCGGCATCGTCGGAGCCGGCATCAGCGGCCTCCTCGCCTGCAAATACGCAGCCTCCATCGGCCTGACTCCGGTCGTGTTTGAGGAGCAGCCGCACGCCGGCGGCCTCTGGAACCACACCATCAAGTCCACCAGGCTGCAGAACTCCAAGGACTTCTTCCAGTTCTCCGACTTCCGGTGGCCGGATTCTGACGACGGCGTCTTCCCCGGCGGCGCCGAGGTCCTGCAATACGTGCAATCGTACGCCGACCATTTCGAGCTCCTGCCATACATCAATTTTAAGTGCAGAGTGATGAGCATGGAGTATGTGGGCGTGTCTGAAGAGGAGATGGAAATGTGGGATTTGTGGGGTGGATTTGGAGAAGCCTTTGGATCCAAAGGGAAGTGGAATCTCAAGGTTCTTCACATCAAGGATCAGTCTGTTAAGGTAATTAACAAACTGTCGACGAATTCTGTCGGGTGCGTTTCTTGCGTCAGGAATTTCTGTGTGACACGGCCGTGTTGGATACTGTGATTTTACTGTATGGTGCCCGGCCGTGTTGTGCACAACTAACTACACAATTTTATTCTTTTTTGTGTGTGTGTGTGGTTCAAAGTACCAAATTGTAGATCGAGTTAGATACTACATATGCCTAAAAATTACTTTTAATATTATTTGTCTATAATAACATTAAAAAAAATATATTATACTATTAAATACTCCATTTAATATAGTATTATATTATTAAATAGTCCACTTTTTAAAAAATTTTAAAATTTTCAAAGAGTTTATTCACTTTATGTTTCTTTTTATACATATGATTTTTATATTAGATATGAGAAATTATGTAATATAAAAAAAAATATTTATATTGAATAATTGACTTTCTATAAGTGAGTAAGTACGTACTCTCTCCATCCAAAAATACACCTTCAATTATCATTTTAGTAGGTCAAAATCAAAATTTAATTTTTAACAAAATTTGTTATATTTTTTTTAAGGTAAAAGTGACTCTCAAATAAATATCAAAATATTCTTAATTTTTAATTTTTCACATTATTACATCACATATTTATAAAATAGTAATTTACTTTAATACGCATGCAAAAATCAAATAAAAAATTTACTAGTGGATGAAGTGAGTATATTATATATATAGAAATTATGTTAGTCTGTGTATATTATATTTTTTTTTAATACTCCTTCTGTCTCATAACTAAATATCCATTTGTTTTGCACGTAGTTTTAGAAATATTAGTATTATATTTGAATGTTGTAGGAATAAAGTAGAAAAGACTAAAATAACCTTATTAGTATGTGTGATATAAAGGTAATGATATTTGTGTAATATATTATAAGTTATAAGGGTATTTGTAATGGTATGTAGATAGTACAGTTACTAAAAAAAGAAATGGATACTTTGTTATGAGACGGACTAAAATGGAAAAATAGATACTTTGTTTATGAAACGGACTAAAATGGAAAAATGGATACTTTGTTATGGGACGGAGATAGTAATATTTATGGAAAATTGATCATCTAAAACAATGAAGTGAACAAACACAAAAATCATATGTTGTGGCATTAATCTTTTGTTAATTTTCACATTGTTGTTTCAACATTATTTTACAATTGCGATTCTAAAAAATAATAATAAACAACATGAAAACCTTTTTACAAAAGTAAAAAATGAAAAAAAAAAAAAAAAAAGAAAACTTCAAATATTCGTTACAAAAAAATCAAATCAATTTAAAATAATATATTTTATACTTTTGACACAATTTTATACCACACATTAAAAATTAATTTATCTAAAAACGTTGTGTAAACATAGGAGCCTTTATTTATTCTCTAATTTTGTTTGTCTTTTTATTTTTTTTATTTATTTATGTATAATTCAAACTCTTTCACCATTTTATATATATAGATTGTTTGCTTGTTTAGTATTTTGATTGGATTTTTTTATGTCAATATAGAAAATTGTGTCGGTAAAATAAAAAAATATTTTATATTGAACATCGACTTTTATAAGAAGATAAAATATGAAAATCGTATAAAAAAAATAAATTGGATAAACAAACTCATAATGTTTACTAATTTACAATTAACAGATTTTAATGATTTATTTACCAGGTATCTTGGTTTTGTATTTAATATTTGATTATGAATAGAATTATGATTTAAATATGTTGTTTTTGAAGGGAATATATATATATATATATATAAAACAACGCTTATCGTGTTAGTTTAAAATTCATCACTATGTTGAATAATACTCCCTCCGTTCTATAACAAAGTATCCATTTCTCTTTTTAATAACTGAACTATCTACCTAACATTACAAATACCTTTACAACTTACAATATATTACACAAATGTCATTACCTTTATATCATACATACTAATAAAGTTATTTTAGTCATTTCTACTTTATTCCTACTATATCTCAATATAATACTAATATTTCTAAAACTACGTGCAAAAAGCAAATGGATATTTAGTTCTGGGACGAGGGAGTATATTGTAAATGTTGAATAATACATTGTATGTTCTTAAGGAAAAATATATACTTCCTCTGTCCCATAACAAAGTATCTATTTTTTCAATTTAGTCCGTCCCATAACAAAATATTTATTTCATTTTTTAGTAACTGTAGTATCTACCTAACCTTACAAATATCCTTACAACTAATAATATACTCTCTCCGTCCCAAAAAAGTTGTCTTGTTTTTCCATTTTCCTCCGTCCCAAAACAATTGTCTTGTTTCTTTATTTAGTAACCGTGGTACCCACTTTATAACAAAATTATTCTTACTTTTCCAAACTACCCATAATTATTACTCTAACATACTTTTTAAAATCCTTAAAAAAGCATAGGCATTTTAGTCTTTTATATTTTACTTTATAGCCACTTTCAATTAAGTACTATTATTCCTTAATTCCCGTGCCAATACCCAATAAAACGTCTCTTTTGGGACGGATGAAGTATTACACAAATGTCATTACCTTTGTATCATACATACTGTTAAGGTTATTTTAGTTATTTATACTGTATTCTTACTATATTCCAATATAATACTAATATTTCTAAAACTATTTGAAAAAATAAATTAATATCTAGTTATGGGACAGAGGGAGTATATAAATATTAATATAATACAAATATATATATATTTAAAACTTGGTACAAATAACTTATCCTCTTATTCCACATAGTATGTTCCATATGAACTAAGAATATGTGTTATATGCACTCTTTATTTGTGCTATTTAGGTGATTTCTCCAAATAAGCATATAACCAACACTATATATATCAATGAATTGAACAATCAAATTGTTTAAACTACATATTGTCTAAAATATTAATATTAGCAAAAAATTACAATGGCTCTGTCACGCAACGTTTTTGGATGAAATAATTTTTGGTGTATAGTATGAAAAATTATGTAAAAATATAAAATATATTTTTTTAAATTGAATATTAGACTATTTTTTATTTTTTTATAGTGAGTATTTTGATTTTTTGAGTTTTATATAAAATATTGTATTTATTGTTATTATTTTTCGGAAATCCCAATTGAAAAATAATGTTAGAGAACTGAGCGAATATATAGGCACTTACATAATATGTAGTATATACTCTATATTCACTTACTAAAATAACAATTTAATACAAAATATTACTCCCTCCGTCCACTTAATAAATTTATATTTACTTTTGTGTTATTTTATTTAACATTAAAAATATTCTTATATTTGTATAATTTTTTTTATAAACGTCATTGTATTAGTATTACAAGACACCGTAGAAGTATTTTTGCCTTTTTTACTTGATTTGTACCGAAAATTTAATGTTTCATTGTACATGGGACGAATGAAGCATTCTTTAATATTGATCGAAAATTTTGTATATTTTTCTTTTTTCAAATAAACATGACTTTTACATATAATTCTTTTTTTATAATCATCAAATCAAATATTTACTATTTTTGCAAGAGAATGATGTGATGAATGCTGAGTAAGAATTTACATGTTAGAATTATTATGCATTGGCAGGAATATGTTGTAGAGTTTGTTGTTCTCTGCATCGGAAGATTCAGTGGTCTACCGTCGATCCCGGAATTTCCTCCCGGAAAAGGCCCCGACGTCTTCTCCGGCCAAGTCCTGCATTCCATGGATTACTCTGCCATGGACAATGCAGCCGCCGCCGAGTTCATCAAAGGAAAGCGAATCGCTGTTATCGGCTCCGGGAAGTCCGCTGTCGACATTGCAGCCGAGTGTGCAAATGCCAACGGTCTGATTTTCTTTCAACTTTAAAATTTCCAAACACTTACATTAGAGAAAGATCTACAGCCATTGATGCATTTAGTAGTTCCACAGGGAGCGAGAAACCGTGCTCGTTGATCTGCCGGACAGCTCATTGGATGCTTCCGGACGCAAAGGCATTGGGATTACTCAGTTTCAGCCGATTGTGTTTCACCCGAATTTTCGAGCTTATGGTTCATAAACCGGGCGAAGGGTTCCTTAATAGCACCTTGGCTACATTGCTTTCGCCGTTGGTACGAGAATTTTCTTCAACATTGTTATAAATTTGTACATGATTCAACAATTTGGCGGTGTATAATATGTTTTTTTTTACAATATCGTAGAGATGGGCGATCTCAAAGTATGTCGAGAGGTACATTAGTTGGAAGACTCCCTTAAAAAAGTACGGCATGATCCCCGGCGAGAGCTTTGTCCAAGAAATCTCCTCTTGTCAAATTCTTTATCTACCCGAAAATTTCTTCGACAAAGTGAAGGATGGAAGCATTATTTTCAAAAGATCGCAACATTTTAGCTTTTGCGACGAAGGTTTGATGATTGAGGGAGAGCACAACCCTATAAAAGCCGATTTGGTCATCTTTGCCACCGGATATAAAGGCGATGAGAAGCTCAGGAATATGTTCGTATCCCCAACTTTTCGGAAACGGATATTAGGATCTCAAGAATCCACCGTTCCTCTTTACAGGTAATTATATCGTACAAAATACAAAACTATCCGTTTTGATTTTGATTTTTTGTTTAAATAGTAAGCAGAATGAATTATAAAGAATCGTAATAATTGCACAGTTAAAAAAAAAAAAATATCTCAAAATAAACAAGATTTTTGAAAAATATGTGTGTTTGTTTGGGGGATTTTCCCCTAAATCCACTATTCATCCAATTATTTTCCACCAAAAATATCAAATCAAACATTTATTTTTTATTTTTTATATTATACTAAAAATCAATTTTACATTCAAAACGTCACATCAACACCTATTTATATCACATCATACAAATATTTCAATTCAAAATTTTTACTATTCAAATTCCAACTCAAATTCCAAAGCTCCAAACAAACACGAGAAGAAATTGTTGGATTAAACACAAAGAGGCCATTTCAATTTCAATAACAATGTTCATTTTTCTTTTTGCGTCATTGCAGACAGATGATCCATCCGAGAATCCCGCAACTAGCCATAATAGGTTACTCTGAGTCTCTCTCAAATCTTTATAGTTCGGAAATGCGATGCAAATGGCTGTCCTTCTTCATGGACCAAGCTTTCCATTTGCCGAGCATTAAAGAAATGGAAGAGGACATCGAGAAGTGGGATACTTACATGAAGAAATATGCCGGAAATGGTAAGTTCAGGCGAGGATGCATTGCCGGCATTCACATTTGGTACAACGATCAAATTTGCAAAGACATCGGATGCGACCCAAAGAGGAAGAAGGGACTTCTCTCCAATTTATTCGAGCCCCATGGACTACGCGACTACGCCGGAATACATCCTCGTCAGCTCTGATCACTTGTTGCAACTCATAAATCTATGTACAAGGTATGTGTGACCGTCAGGTCATGAGTTCAAACCTTCGACGTCTCAAATCACCTTCTACACATGGTTCGTCTAGTGTGACTTGTCTGTCGAACCTAGTTTGCAGGGTATTAGGTTCGGCCGGGGGTTTACCCAGTACACACTTTCGAATAGCGGCTGCAGATTCTCACGTCATTATTAGAAAAAAAAAAAAAAAAAAAAAAAAGAAAAAGGGGGAAAGTTACTTGGGAAAGATTTGTACATGTAAGCTTATTCAAGAAACCTTTCATTTGGTATTACTCCCTCCGTTTCAATTACCGTGTCCACCTTATCATTTTCGTTTGTCTCACTTGTTCTGCCATTTTCCTTTTTGGAAAAGAATTATACATTTAATCTTATTTTAAAATTTATAATTTATAATTTTTTAATTTTAATTACACTAATTAGTTATCTTAATTTTAATCTAAAATTATTTTTATTATGTGATAATTATTTTTAATTATTTCACTAATACATTTTTTATTATTTATTAATTATACTTCTCTTAAATTCCCGTATTTATCATAAAGAGGACACAGTAGCCGGGTCGGAGGGAGTATATTTTTAATTCCAGTACCTTTTAATAAAGTATTTTCTCTATTGAAGTTTACTTTAAGCTTTTTTATTATTATTATTATTATCATTATTACTACTGCTACGTAACAATTGATTTTTTATTAAAAATAAAATATTTTTCTCCTTATAGTTATTACATATTATTATTATTCAAATAAAAATACAAACAAAAATGATAAATACAAACTTTAAAAAACACACAATTCAATAATTGTATATATATTTAAATATCATACTTTAAGATAAAAAGGACCGCATAGCGCAGTGGATTAGCGCGTTTGACTTCGGATCAAAAGGTCGTGGGTTCGACTCCCACTGTGGTCGATTATTATATTTTGATAAATTTTTCAAACTTATTCAAAATCCTTTTATTTCAATCTCTTTTCAATTAACTGATATATTTTATGTATACTTCACAATTTTTTATTTTCTATAAAATTAGTTTTTAGTTAATTATAAGTAAATAAATAATTTTTTTGATTTATTTGCATTATAGTATAATATTTTATTTTTTACAAAATATTTTTATATATTTTATTGAGATATAAAGCTAAAAATATTTAAAATATCTATAAATTACTCATATAAAAAATAATAAAATAATATTATAACTTATTATTAATAATTTATTAATTTATACTACGTAAGTGTTCCAAGGGATCATCTTTACCGGACGATGGAGAGAGTATAATTTTTTCTATCAAATACATAATTAAAATATTATTTAAATTAAAAACTCAAATAAAAAAATAAAAAAAATAAAATAATAATAATAAAAATTAAAAGTATTTTGGTATTAATATATAATTACTTTAACTAACAAAAATAATAAAAAAAAATATTTTAAATTAAGACCGGAAAGATTGTGTTCTTTTGTGAATTTTAACACAAATTTTTACTATTTAATTTTTTTTTTCTAAAAATATCACATCAAATAATTACTTTTCTATTTTTTATATTATACTATAAATTTATTTTATCTTCAAAACATCAAATCAATCTCTATTTATATCACTTCTCCAATGGGTCATTACGGAACATCAAAAACTTAGCTTTGTATATACTCCCTCCGTCTTGTATATACTCCCTCCGTCCCATAACAAAGTATCTATTTTTCTATTTTAGTCCGTCCTATAACAAAGTATCCATTTTTTTTAGTAACTGTACTGTCTACCAAACATTACAAATACCTTTACAATTTATAATATATTACACAAATGTCGTTACATTTATATCACACATACTAATAAAATTATTTTAATCATTTCTACTTTATTCCTACTATATCCCAATATAATATTAATATTTTTAAAACTATGTGAAAAAAGCAAATGAATATTTATTTCTGAGACGAAAAGGGGTAAATGTTTAAGTAAGAGCACAGTGGTCACTATACAACACAAATCAAAATTCCATGTTCCTCTCTATATCAGCATACCCTTCATCAAATCACATTCTTGATGGGTTCAAACTGCTTGAAAAACTCAGGCAGATCATGTTCTTGATCAAAAGAGGTAAATTGTCCACAGAGATCTACATTTTCCCATAAAATCCAAATCCTTTTCATTTCCCTCTGAATTCTTCAAAACCCCATCTTCATAATTACCTTCATTGGTAGTTTCTTGTAGAAGAGTTTTCTGGACAGCCAAAACTTACTTTCCAAGAAAATCGTTCAATAAAGCTGGATTGAGTTATCAAAAACCTCCTGAAACCAAATCAAAATTAGCCATTGTTTTGAATGCACAAGTCTGAGCATTCATAGGAAATACAACAATGGGATGATGAGTTAATGGCAGTCCTATTTCATAAAAAATCTTCAGTGTGTTTAAGATGGTCTCCAGCATCATAATCCTGTCCTTAGAGTTTGTCTATAAAACTGCAATCAAATTAAATAATCCCAGCAAAGAAAGCACATCTTTCAATTCAATGCGAGCCTACATAATTTAATGCAAATGGAGTAAGCATTTCGAGAGTTTATTACATGTGGCTCTCATTCCTTGGTCTTCTTCCCTTTGGCCTCTTTGGTGGGAGGGTTCTTGAAAGGAATGAAGCTTTTCCCACCCATGAAATCTCTAAGAACCTCGGGTATTTCTACCCCATCCTCCTTTTGGTGGTTCTCCAGAATGCAGCATATTGTCCTCTCCGTTGCGGTCAAGGTGGAGTTCAACATGTGAACATATTCCTTAACCTTATCGTTGCTCTGCAAAAACAATTCAGAGTGTTAATCCTTATCCAAAATTCTATTGGAATTGGAAATCCTATGAAAAGTATCTTGCATTTTGCTTAGCTCCTACAAATTTCCCATGCATTGATCAATAGAGAAGTGAGAATTCCGGCTATCAAAACTAACTTCACCTTTTTTTGCCCATAACGGATTTCTAATCTTCTTGACTGATAGTCTGTGCAGTTTGAGCAGGACACAAGTTCTCTATAAGCCTGTGATGCCGGAAACCATCCTTCTAAGTCATACTTCTTTGCAGCAGCATCATTCAGTGCACCAGAGACTATAGATACAACTTGATATGGAATTTTGAGCTGCTCAGAGAGAAAAAAAAAAAAAAAAAAACACAATATTCAAGAACCTCAACCAACGCATATGCTATTCGTACGTAATAACCAAAATAAAAGGCATAGATATAATTATATGCATAAAACTTTGACTTCAACAGTTCAAACATAAAATGCTGGGCAAAAAGATGAATGCCTATAATCTGAGAGACAATGATTCCAGAAAAATAAGCTGAAAAAGATACCAGCTTGTAGAATTCCTCAGAATTTTTTAGCATCTCTTCATGCATCTCCCAAGAATCAGTTCCATTTGGAGTGGTGATGCAGAATTGTTCCACCTTTTCAAATTGGTGAACCCGGAAAATTCCCAGTGTATCTCGACCATGTGAACCAGCCTCTTTGCGGAAGCATGACGAATATCCAGCATATCTGACAGAACCAATTGTCGCTTAGAAACATCAGGTTGCAGCTAGCAAAAAATTCTACATTATGCTAACCAGTAACCACAGCATGCTAAAGTTTGCTGATCATAGATCCAATACCTCAAAGGCAGCTGTGATGGATGGATCCAATCATCTAGATGATATGCACAAAGTGGCTGCTCAGCTGTTGCAATGAGATACTTATCATCTCCTTCGCCAGTAACCTGTTAAACACAAACAAGTTAACCACAACCTCAGCTGTCACAAAGTCCAAATGGTTTTCACACAAATTTTAGCAAGTAGAAACAAATATTTAAAATGCAGCAAATGATTAAAGCACAAAAGAATTGGCGGCCGATGACCGCACAATTAATGAATATCCAGCAGGGATTCGAGTAGCATCTGTATCTTCTTCGATAAGGCATTATGTGATCATGTTTAATACCGGTGGTGTGGAGGATAAAAATCAATTCTCATTCCATGAGTAATATTTTGTTTCAAAGCTGTTCTTTTGGAGCTTGGTTTTGATTTTATTTCTTACCACGCAAACATCATGATTTCGTATAAAAATATATTATTTTCTCTCACAAAAAATTACATCCAAACCATATTTAAACCAAAAACAACAACAAAAAGATAAAATCAAACTATACAATAAAACACTGAGGATACCCCTAATTAATATAGATAGTCTCTCGTTCTTTTCGTTTTTCTTTTGTTCTTTTACATTATTTTAATTTGATATATAATGATTGCTATATGATTACATAGATCTACACATAATATATTTTAAATAGTTAATTTATTTAAGTACAACTAAAAAAAAAGGCACTATTTCATACTCACTCCGTCCCACCTAGCATGTCCGGGTTACTCTAGACACGAGAATTTGAAATAAGTATAATTAGTAAATAATTAAAAATTTATTAGTGAAAATAATTATCTTATATTATAAATAACTATAGATTAAGATTAAACTAACTAATTAGTTTAACTAAATTAAAAAATTAGAAATTAGAAAATTTAAAATAAGATAAAAGTGTGTAATTATTTTCCAAAAAGGAAAGGAACATGAGATATAGGGTAGACAACAGCAATGTGGACACCATAGGTGGAACAGAAAGAGTAATATTTATAGAACAACATTCAATGATCATCATTAATTCTTTATAATATTTAAATATGTATTGAATGTGATGTACATAAATGTGATGTTTTGAATAAAAGGCTTTGATATAATAATTTAAATGAAAATTAGGTGTTGGATGCGACAATTTATTTTAGGAGAAAAAAATGATAATGTGAAACAAAGCTGAAAAATATAAGTAAATAGAGCCTGTTTTTAGATGCATAATTTAGTATTTAACATAAGATAAAGTATATTATAAACAAGTATTTGGGAACAACAAAAAAATAATTATATGAATGAATATCCCATCAATGCAAATTTAACATTAACTGAGTTGGGCCCTCTTAGTAAAGACTATTTACTCTATATAATAGGAGGTAGGCCCCTCCCATTCATATTATTTAGGAAAGCACGAAATGAGTCTTAAGTAATTAATAACAGTTCATGACCTAGTAAACGTGAAATTACCTTGTAAAGTTCTTCGTCAAATTGTGCCAACTGCGCACATTTAGCCATAATATCTTTCCTCATGAAGAAAGGAGGTTGCAATGCAGTAAAACCTTTCTTCTCCAAAAAATCAAGGGCAAAGTTGATCAGAGCTTGATTAAGTCGCACTCCATCACCTTTGAGATAGAAACCTCTGCCCCCAGCCACATTGGCACCTATAACATTCATAATCACCTTATCAAACCACCACCACCGAAGAAAATAAATAAATAAATAATAAGAAGAAGAAGAAGAAAATTAAATAAATAAAGCGTAGACAGTCGGTAATCAATGAACAGGCAGCAGAAAGTCAATGCAGCATCTGAAATACTACAGCACTGACACCACAATGAAAGAGCATATTGAAGAGTATCAAAGAACATTTTACTAGCATATGCTAAAACAGTGACAAATACCCAACTCAATATACAGAATTAAATAGGCTTGGATTAATAAAATGTCCAACAAAACCAAACATGATAATTATTCAGTGGCATCTTGAAATCAGATAAGACTAAAAATGCTCTTTCCTATTCTAACACTGAACCTCAATATGGGGATAAGCATGAGAACTTCGTAAGATTGTCCAACTAGACATTGTTTCAAGCAAATAAATATATGTCTCACTGATAATCAACAGATCAGGCGGGCTGTACCTATCTCTCTCCAGCTGCCACAATTGTAGCGACTTGTCATCATCAAGATTTACTCTGTTCTATTCATGTAAGTTACATTGATGCTAATGGTCTTCCATTGAAAGATGATTGATACACATGCTAATGGTCTTTTCATAAAAAGATCATCTTAATATATTCTTATGTTATTAACTTTTTATATAACATTTAATTAAATTAATCATGCTTTCCATTAACATATTGATACAAATATATTTTGTTAATTAACATATAATACGTATTCAATTATTTGTAATCATTCAACAACTTAATTATCAAGCAAGTACAAAGTTACCTAATGAACAACTTAATCATTAGTATTCTACGTTCAACATTCAATCAATTTTACCAAACAGCACCTAACAGCACATACACTCATACAAGAGCATGCATGCAAAATCTCGAGTCAAACTATCAGCACACAACTGGGACATAGGATAATTCAGTAGATCTATAGGTACTTTTTGGAACACTAAAGAGCACTCGAAACTCAAATTACTCAAAGTCTGAGACAGAATATAAAAGGGGTAAGTATCTTAGCACTGTTCTGCACGTACAATTTCCAAAATATAATTGAAAAGCATAAACCACCTTTCTTTATGTCTGCAATTCCCAAAAGCTCAACAAGGTCCACATGATTCTTCAGTTTTGGTTCAGTTCGCTTCTCTCCCCATGACCGAATTACTGCATTGTTTGCCTAAACAAGATTTCAAGATTCATTGCCAGAAATATATATATATATAAATATTTATATATATATATATATATATTGACTGAGCAAAGAAGTAAAAGAAGATGAAAACAAGACACACCTCATCATTACTGACAGGGACCGAATCATGCACAAGGTTTCCAATAGTTCCCAATCGCGACTGCACTGCTTCCAGGGCCTCCTGCACCTCTGCCTCCTTCTTGGCAGTTAGGTCTCTGTTTTCTTCAGTGCTTTTAATCATTCCACTGGCATCTTGCCCCGACTGCCAAAACCATAAAGATTCAGTCAACATCCAGCAAAGAAGAGAGAAGAAATACTCATAATTAGATCACTAAGAATTCAGCTGCTAAACCTTATCTCCCTATTGGATTTAAACCCCAAACAACATAGCTCAACAAGCAAAAGGGAGATCTAACAAGCTTAACTACGAAAAATCTATCTTGCTGAAAAAACAACAAAAAAAAATAAAAAATAAAAATACAGCAGTGGTATATGATCACTCACAATTTTGAGACGAGCAATCTCCTTGCTAATTCTGTTCCTGTCTGTCCTCAGGCCATCCAACTCATATTGTCCTACAACCATGGTAGATGATGCTGAGTTCACATTATGTGGTGATGGAAGAACAATAAGGAGTTAAAAAACGTTGTGAATTGGATACTTACTTTGCCGCCAGACTTTGTCGAGCTCAATGACCTCATCAACAAGATCAATCTTGGCAAAACGACGGCGCTGCGACTCCCGGATTTTCTCAGGGTTGCCCCCCTTCTCTTCACGAAAGAGATTAATGTCCAACATACTTATCGCTCTCTGCAGTTGTTGGGCACCAATAACACATAAATAGAACCGTAAATGACAGGGAAATGCAATCAACTACATATGTCCGAAATGGTTATGAATCACAGTCATAATTATAAAACAATATCTAGACATGGATCCAAAATCCCCTTAAAACCCTAAAAATATGATCCCCAGTAAAAGAGGGTGCCTCGAGGTGAAGAAAATCAAATTAATAAGTGCCATGGAACAAAAGAGATTCTGATTAATTAAAAAAAAAAAAAAAAAAAAGCTTGAGCAGATGAGATCTCCAGAGGAGGCAAATAACAACAAGGGGAAGAAAATCAAACACTAACCGGGCAAGTACGGATTGAAATTTATCAAAATGTTGGAGCAGATTTGCAGAGAAGCAGCAAGCGAAGCGAGTCAAGAAGGCAGCAGGGGAGAGCGGGCAAGGCAACGACGACGAGGGTTTTAGAGAACGGCACTATAATTTTCAGTTCCTATTATGCCCCTTAGGTTCTGTGCTATCTACGATCTTACCCCTACCCATGAAATTTTTAGTCAATTTCTCTAAAAATGTTAAAACAAATATATTTAGTATAAAACAAAAAAAAAATTATACTCACTCCATCCCCATAGTTTGTTTACCATTTTTATCCGTCTTAAAACAATAGTCTTATTTCCATAAGTAACCATATTATCGTAAAATTACCCATATTTTTCATTTTTATTACACAATTGTCATTACTTTTTATACTAATACACTCGTAAAGGCAAAAAAACTTTTTATCCATACTTTTTAAATAGTAAACTAGTCAAAAAATTCCATAATGTTGTATATATATATATATAAATAGTCATTATATAGACACTATGTAAACAATACTTCTAATATCTCTATATGCATTACTAATGAGATATGTGAATGTTTTTTATTGGATAATAGAATAAAAGGAACACACATTTAATATAAATTATTTTTTCTCTTTAAAACTATCTTCAATCGAATGTCAATTCCGCTAATTTTGTAGTAGATGAAAAATAAATTTTCCAACACAATTATACATTTATCGATTTCACGTTCGGATAGGAGGATTGCAACAGTGTTCCGCTAATTGTGACAACTCTTCCATCAAGGAGTACAATCTCACCGACGGCTTTTAGTAGGAGCAAATAAACAACTACTCACGATCTCTAACTAAAAAATATTCATATTTTAGAAATATTATCTCATTATATTATTAAATTTAAATTTTCAAAATTAAATTACAAATTTTAGTGTGTATATATATATTTTTTTTCTTCTGAGTTATCCAATTAAATTTTAATTTTAAAATTAATTTTAGATTCTAATTATATATATTTCCTATTTTTTCTTCCTAATCATGTTGCACTTTATCTTCCAAAATCTAATTATAGTCTAAATCTCTTCCCTTCACGTTTCTGTGCCGGCTTTGGATCAAATACGAAAGTGATAAACAATTCAGCATAAGTTGATCTAAACCTTTCATTTTAATTTAATTATTTTAAGTGTAGATCAAATTCAGCATGGCTGAATTCCTTAATTGAGCATCTAATTCACTCTGTTCCATGCCACACCCCACCAACCCACTCAAATCAAACCCGCCCATCTTTCTCTTTTTTCCTCTCTCCCTCAATCTCTCTCGCTTTTCAAACTTTCGAACACCACCGTGAAGCGCCGCCGGTCCGCCTTTCATTTTCTTCCCCCGAATCGACGCTGCCAAACCACAGCCATCAACCTCTTATCTAGCTCATGCCAGCGTTAATGATATTATTTTAAAAATACATTTAACCATGTGTTTGATAGAATCTAAAATATGATTTTACTCAGGGCCTCGAAAAAGTTCGAGACAGCCTAGTACAATCTATTTTGCATTGTTTTGATAGAATAATCTTGCTTTTGAATGTCCATAAGTGCTTGCTAGTTATTGTTCACTTATATAAAATATTTTTATAATATTGTAAGCACGGTTGATATGTAACTATTATATGTATGTAACAATCAATAGTATTCATTTATATAAAAATAGTTTATAAAGCATACACTACAAAAAAATAGTATATTAGTAACGGAATTCTGTTCCTAAAGTGTGTGTAGTTAACGCAATTCCCTCTCTAATTCCGTATCTAATGTCTTTAGTAACGGAAAAAGGGGATTTAGAGACAAAAAAATTTTGTTACAAAATTGATATTTTTTTGTAGTAATAGAGTTAGTATATTTGTAACATACAATAACGCGATGCAAATAAACTATTTAATCACTATTGCTCAACCACACTTACCTTTCGAACAAGATAGGGTGTTATTTTCGTCTTACATATGATATTTGAGTTATAGATATTTAAACGTAAATGTAATTTTTTTTAATGCAATGTATGCAAAAGTTAAATATTCTCAATGTCCAGTTAGAAAATATACATATTTTTATTTTGGGACATCTAATTACAAAGTAAATATTTTATTAAATACTTTATTTTTTTTTCAAAAATATTTTTATTTTACATCACATCGTTGTTTTTACAACAAAAAACAAAGGCAAAAATTTCATTACACTATTTTTAACTACCCACTATAATTAAAATACTATTATTTTTTAAAACACTGTGTCAAAAAATAAATATTTATTTTGTAAATAGACGGAGAGAGTAATATATAATTAAACGGTCCTGCTCAGACGGAAGGATTTCCACTCAAAATCCACTAAAAATAGAAGATTCATTATATATATGTTATATATAACTATTTGATATTTGTAAAGTATTAAAAGAATGCAGTTGATGGTTTGAAGGTATAATTATAATTATGAGGTTTTGAATTCAAACTCCAATACCTCTATAGTTTTATTTTATTTTTTTAATATTATTTTATGCATAGAAAAGGATTATATATTTTTGCATCTAAAAATACTTTTTTATGTTTTATTATAGATAATAAAATGCGGAAAAAAATTAATTTTGGTTTCAATATAATTAGTCTCATAATTAAAAAACTAACGAAAATTGCTGACGTTAAGGTAACGAGATTGACGTTGAAGTTTACCTGAAATCAACATGGCAGTGTACAATTATGTACGTTAATGTTGTTACACGGACGTATTTATTATACACCACCATTTTGTCACACAGTCGTATTTAATTGTAGATGACTGTGTATTTTTCTACTTTGGTCTAAAATTTTACTTCCTCCGTTCGATTTGAAATGGATTTTTTGGAGTTTTGTAGTAGATTAATAGTAATAATAATATTTTATTGGACAGTGAAAGTTTGTAAGAAATTTTGATATTTTTGCCATTTGATTTTATGTAGAAAGTGATTGTATATGTAATTGTATGTTTGTAATTTATATAAAAGTTGATGGTATTTTGGTATTAGTGTATGATTACTTTTACTATAAAAAAAAATAGATACGTTTGAGTATGACAAACAAAAATGGTAAAAATAATATTTAGAATTGGGATGAAGAGAATATTATTTTTATTATATTTTTTTGAAAAAAATATATATTTTGAATTTAGAACAGTTGATATAGTTAAAATTGTATTTAAAATAATAGTAATCTCAATATAATTAAAATATATTAATTTTAGTTACAATATAAAAAAATTTACTATTTACCAAATTTTTTTCTCCCACAAACATCCAATTAAACACCTATTTTTTATTTTTATATTATATTAAAAATTGATTTTACATTCAAAATATCATGGACATATTATTTGAAATAGTACTGAAATGTAAAATTAATTTTTTTAATGTAGAATTAAGTTTTAATAGTAGTATAGTATAATTAAAAAAAATGTGTTGAATAACATGTTTGTAGAAGAGGAAATTTTGGTAAATAATACTTTATTCGTCTCAATTCAATCTATTTTTTTTACTATTTTCGCATGTTCCATTCCAAAGTATTTTTTTCCTATTTTAGTATAAATAATTATACACTAATACTAAAATGCTAAAATACCCATAACTTTTACCTAAAGTTTAAAGATATCATTACACATATAAAGACTATATACATAAAATAAAGATTATATACATAAAATCAAATGACAAAAATGTCAAAGCTTTTTACATACTTTCACTCACTAATAAAATATTATTATATTTTAATATATTATAAAAATCCTAGAGGCCCTTGGAGATAGGACAGAGGGAGTGTAAATTTTATGCAAAATTTTTCAAAATAACATACTCAATGAATTTTTTATATTTAAACAAAAATGGATACATTCTAATTATATTGAAATTACTATTGGTTTTTTTTTATTTTAAGTATATCAACTATTTTAAATTCAAAACATATAATTTTTTTTTTTCAAAAAGATATAACCAAGAAAATGAAATTTTAGACCAAAAACAAAAAGATATACGACCGTGTACAATTAAACAGGATCGTGTGACACATGTGCGGGTATAATTGTACACGGCCGCGTTGATTCTAGGTCATCTACAACGTCAACCTGTTACATTCACATTGGCAATTTTCGTTAGTTTTAACAGAGAAATTAAAATTGATTGAAATGATTTATAATTGGACTAAAATTGATGATTTTTTTATATTTGAAGCAAAATTGATACATTTTGATTATATTTATTTCAAAATTGATTTTTTCCTAAAAAAAATATATATCATTTATATTTATTTAGAGACCTTTATTATTGTTGAAATTTTTTCGCATTAAAAAGGATTATATATTTTGTATCTAAAAATACTTTTTTATACTTCGCTATAGGTAAAAAATATATATACTCCCTCCATCCCAGGTAATATGAGACGATTACTGTAGATATAAGAGTTTAGGTAAAGTATAATTTATAACACCCCGGCCGGCTCAAACCGGAGTGTCACCGCCAAGCCACACCGGAAGGCTCTAATCAACCAACTAGCCTTACGTTGTGGCGCTAAGGCTAAAATAATGAATACAAATTTAAAATTAAAGCGCACCAGCTTATCAATTAAATAAGTAAAGTTTGTGTAATAAAACATAAGTGGGAAATGGTTCAAAAGGTATTAATCCTTAAATATAATTAATGAATTTCAAAAGCATTCTAGAAGATAAAGTAGTTCTAATTTCCCCAATGAATCATATGACGTGAATGCATCATTTAGGTATAATAGAAGCACCATGATCTACAAAAGTTTGTAGAAAGAGGGTCAACACGATGGTTGAATAAGCGCAGTTAATCAAAGATAAATTAATACGACATAAAGCCACAAAATCATTTGAAAATGATAATTTGAATAAAATGTCGCATATCACATAAGGATAACTCACACACACAAGTCTTTTAGCGCTTCTCTTATATCTCATTTTCATTCTCAAATAATGGTGATTAACACATCACGAAGAAAACTCCACTAGGCTTGAATTAGAGCCGGCTCGACCCAATTTTCCAACCTTATTACTTTGTATGATATGTCACATGATTACACATAACAAATATAGGTCGCAGCCCTCAAGAAAAGCT